AATTACTTTGCTTTACTTGGAAACATGTAACATCATATTTTTCGTATTCCATTGGCTCTGGACTAATCATCTCTGCTTGCCTCCATCTATAAATATTTTGGTGCAACACTACCTAATCACTTAACCTGGAATAACCACATTGAAACAGACTCAGCAGAGGCTTCGCGCACTCTCGGGTACATCAAAAGAAATCTGAAGGCGCCACCATCTCATCTCCGGGAAATGGCATACGAGACTTACGTTGGACCAAAGTTGGAGTATGCAGCAGCAATTCGGAATGCTCATCAAATTTATCCCATTAACCATCTTGAGTCAGTTCAAAATCGCACGGCCAGGTCGATTCTTCATGACCACTATTGAAGAACTAGTGTCTCTGCACTGAAATGCCCGCTATATAAGTCGCGCCACAAGATATATCATGCTTAACCCCATTTCATAAAATTTTCTATAATAATCCAATGCTTCATAACTCACTCGTACTTCCTCCTTGAAGAGCATCGTCTCGACTAAATCACCCATGTCACGTATCTCGGATCACAAACTACTTCAACCAATCAGAGAGAGAGAGAGAGAATAAACTTTTATTCTGAGCATTTCAGCACGGTGGTCTGTGCCGGAAGGAAGGGCTTCCCTTTTCACGAGATACTATATGCTGCCTTATCTGCCTGGCCCCTGTTGACCAATTGTAGCTGATCCTCCAGGGCGGGGCTGGACAGCAAGTTCTCTCATCGCTCTACAGGGGAAAGGGTGTGGGTGGTGGGTGGTCTTGATTGAATTTACACTCACGTACGTTGTGGCGGAGGGCTCCCATCTCTTGACATACTGGGCAGTTCCCACTGTATTGAGTGAGGAACATATGCGACTGAGTAAAAGGGGGTGGGGGAAGGACCCCGACTGAATTTTCCTATATGCTACCTGTTCCTCCAGCGTTAACTTAGGATGCGGGGCTGGCAGTCTTCGCCTTTCTTTGCAGTAGAATGCGACTAGTATTTCCTATTAGGTGACCATGGGTTGGTCCTAGCTGCACCTCTTCCACGGCTGTGGCCCGGTAAGTCAGTGCACGGGCCTGCTGGTGAGCAAGTTTGTTGCCCTCTACCACGGAGGGGGCAGGTACCCATTCAAATTCTATGGGCTCCTTTGGGGGTCTTTTGTTTTTGAGCACCTGCAGTGCTTTTCAGGACACCAGGCTCGACTGGAAGCTCCGGTATGCTTGGTGTGAGTCGGTGATTACCCTGGTTCTGCTTGGCAATAGGTAACCCCGTCTTGTTCCGCAATGCTTCGATTACTCTTTTAGCAAGTGTATTTATGTACCAGTTTTATTTCACACAGACTTGTTCTCACTGTTTATATTACTCACCAGCCCTGTAGGTATCAGCCACCTGTCTGTTCATATGTTGATCTTTTGTATTTTTCATGTACTTCCCCCCCCCCCCCCCCACACACACACACACACACACTCCTTATGTAATGCTCCTGTTGGGGCCTTTAAAGTTACAATATATATATATATAAAAAAAACTGCCAGCAGCATTGGAAGAATTTAGGAGCGGGGGTGGGGGCAACCAGTTTGAATTCCTGTGCCGACGTGACGCCACACATAACTTGAGCACATTATATAACATTCCCACCCATCTGATCGGCATTCCTAATCAGTTTTACAGTTTTATTTCCATATGTTCAGTGACAATGTAAGCCAGTTTTAGATACTATACTTTTATAGTATTACTTTTCCGTACTTCTCACTGCAACGTTTTCATGGCGAGCATACTGTTCCCAGCTGCAGATCACGACAGCCGCGCACAAGTAGCGAGCCTCAGTTTGGGCATCTAGGACGTAGTACGTAGCTGTTGCGCGTCTCGTACGCACTGCAAAATCCGCGTAAAACGATCCAAGCTTCTTTCAGCAAGCGCTGTGACCCAAGGGGGTATCGGAGGTCGAGTGTGTTAGCGCACCGCAGCTCGTACGGCGAAAGGTCCCGCTGCCAGGGATCCCCACCCCTACCCGTTTCGATCTGTTGTGAGGCACAGACCCCAGGCTAGCAGTCGTACTGTAGTGGCTAAATTTTCTCATCTACAGCCTGAAACGGTGTCGCCAGAACCTAGACAGGCCGATCGCACGCTATTTAAAATAGTGAACGTCTTATTTTCTTCCGCTGTGCCCAAAATGACGACAGTGCATGCGATTGAAAGACCAGCGGACAGGCTACCACTCTTGCCTTCGAATCGCTCGGGAGTCGGGCACCTGCATTTGCACCATGATCGAAGAACCAGGAAGAAGCAATGTCAAATCACATCGACACAGAATCACCCCAAGCTTCTTGCTTGTGCCCTTCAGCTCTGCGCGCCGTCAGCCGTATCAACGCTAATCACAATTAATTAACGCCTGCCGTGCGCGTTCCGCCGCTCATACAAACAACAACAAACAATCAGGGTGTTATGCTGCAGAAAGTTACTTCCGCCAGTTTTAGCGAAATGCGGAGCTCAACCCTAAAGCCCCTTGATAAAACGAGCGTTTCGCCGCAGTAAGGTTGCAACGCCTATTGGCTGAGAGAAAAAAGCAAAAACAAGCAAAAGCAACACAAACCGGAAGTGACGAAAGTTTTTGTTTTGTTTGTTTTTGCTTGTTTCCATTTTATTTTTTGTTTTTACTTTTTGTTTCTCCAAGTGTTTGTTGGGTGCTCTTTGGAGCGGTCGCGTCGGTTCCAACGGTCTTTCTTGTATTATACGTTGTCGTGTTATGTGCCGCCGTATTGCCGAGTGGAGTTGGTCGTGATATTCAACGCTTGGGAACGAGCGTCGGCAGTGAAGTTCACAGCGCATTCATGCAAGCTAGCAGGCCCCGTCTCGCCACATGGAGGCCCGTGGGACGCTTGTTCGGAACGTAAAAGGTGAGTGGAATTTACCTACTCTGGTGGCGTTCGATCGTCGATGCGACACCGCAGTGGGTGAATTTTATAGCGCTTGGCTACCTCACGTAGCGTCGGGGACAAAGAAGATAGTAGAGATAACCAACGGGAGTGACATGTCGCTCCCGGGTGCCACCTGCGCCGCATTTGCATTCAGTAATCGCACTTAAAGAAGGACCAAGCGCGTTGGGAATGTCAGCTTTTGACGAGCTCGTGCAGTCACAAAAGCGTTCTGTCGAAAGACCGGATTTACAAACAGATCACGCTTCGCGAATGGCCCTCCCGGCCCGTCGAATTTGTGGCGGGTAATAATGTTACTGTTCATCCTGGTAGGCCTGCGATGGTGTTTTCTGCACAAATGCTGTATTCTGCCTCGTGGTACATTCACACCTGCAGCAGAACTGCTAAGCGATTCTGCTACAGGTTAATCGCGAAGAGTTGTGCTCTTCCATAATGTGCATGTTAAAGTGACAACAAATAAGTGCCTCTCTGTTCTACTTCTCCTTTGGTATTCAACTGGTTGTATTTTCTACTACATTTTGTTCAGACAGCCACTGCGAGACAGGCATTATACTATACTATCCAAAATAATGCTTGAGCATGAGACGAGGTAACAGAAATACTTCTATATGTGCCTGTTTTTTGTGTTTTTGCAAGACAAGGTTTTATGTGCCTGCTTTTTATGTTTTTGCAATTCACTGGCTAGACCACTCTTCTCATGGTTATTGTTTTGTTGGGTGCAAAATTTTCCACCCCAGGTGTCTGATACTTGCGGCTGATGGCTTCTACCTACGTGCATCAAACAGCGGGCCTGCACCTTCGCCGAGACAGCAGTAAAACAGTTCTGGGTAACTGCAGCGACTGGGTCACCGATGCCGTTCCACTTTCTGCACTGCACTCCGCGTGGGTCAAAGGGCCAGCGCATGCCTTTTATGGGTTGTCGCCAGCCATAGTGAGTATGGCTTGGAGTCACGTCATGCGAGTGAAATGCTTGTCACCTGAGTGACGTCAGTGGGGGGTTGCCGCCACCGCCGTTGGTGGGGCTATGATGGTGGTCTGCGATCACAGACCACCAAGCACCATTGCACTGTTCCTGGATGAACTAGCCGCTCTTGAGGAAGAACAGGGTGCTTTGGGAAGAGCTATGGTGTCCGCTTTTTCACTAGCTCCAGCTGTCGCCACAGACATTTTGTCGAAAGGAGCAACATGTATGAATGAGTAGACGGCGCTGAATGGCCGCAAGGGGCCTCGCTTCTGATCGAGGGGTTCAAGATAGTTCCGTTTCAACAGAGCTACCTCTTGGGGTATTGTACAACACAGGAAATAAAGGGCCCAAAAGTTTTTTTACCTTGACGAGGTGTGGGTTATGGCAGGACCAATTTTCTCAAAGGTGCGAGTAGACACAAATGCGGCTTTGTTCCGTGGACACCTTCATGTTTGGTGGCACGAGGCAGTCATTGCTTAACCCTGCTTAAAGATCAACGACTGGACTGGTCAAGGGTGGCATGCCTGAGAGTGGGACAGTAGACAGCTGTTATATATCAACTTTAGACTTCATTCACCCCTTGAAGGGGCCCTGCAACAACATTTTGACTGATTTTTAATTTGCACCGATCCTGAGCGCACTGAACGTAGAAACTTAATGAACCTTTTCTTTTCTCAAATTTCGCTTTATTTTAAAAGTTATAGGCAAATTAGAATTACAAAAACAAGCAAAAAATAACCTCCTTCATGACGTCGTAGGTCCTGGCTTGAGTGGCCGTGAACTAGACGAGGGATAGTGAGGTCAGCGAGTGCTCACGGCTGCCGCACTCCGTGTCGACGGCTCGAGGGGGCGCCACTAAAGCACGTGTTGGATAGGCTGTATGGAGCGGGCGGTGAGGGCGGCTCGCATTGCATTTGCTGCACGATTAAAGACTAGTTGGGCATAACACTTCATAGGCCACAAACGACAGCAAACAAGGGGTAAATATCAGTTCAGAACGGGAGCCACTTCGCGCTGCCATACCGCCAAATGGCAAAATCTCCAGCTGTTATATACCAACTTTAGACTTCATTCACCCCTTAACTGACAGGGCACTGAAGGCTACATGCTCGGTGAACCAGCCGATTGTCAGTCTTGCATCACTTATCACGTCCCTTTCTCATACAGATGTGCAGGTCGGACATGAGGCAATAATAGCTTGGCCCACCAACCACATGGCTTCTACCGCCCTGTCAGCGTAGGGGTGAATGGAGCGTAGGGGCAGCAGAGTTGGTGGGGTCTGCTGAGTGCTTCTGGCGTAGCAGTTCGGCAGTGGTGAGTTACTAGAGCACAAAATGCAATACCGCACTTTACTCTGAATGTTGCGAGCCATCGGAGCCAATCCAGTGCCAAAGGTGTGTCACGTGGCCTGTCTGTTGGGCGCAACGGCACGTCGAGCACAGTGTCATCTGGCAGCGACAAAGAGTTGGATTGGCTTCGGTGGCTCGTATAGTCGGCTGTGGTACAACACAAGGTGAAACGGAGTAGAATGTGATGGCATGTCGCATCACAGAAGGTGAGCAAATTAAACAGATAAAGGTTTGATTTTTAGAGTGCCTATTTTAGGTTTTTGTTGCCCTCTTTCGGTGTCCTTAAAGGGGCCCTTCATAGCTTTCTGCGATCGTCTGTTTATGTTATATTGCGTAGTAGGTGCAAGTTAATATGTATCCAAAGTTTTAGATTACAAAACCGTTTATTAAGCAGATGGCAGAAGAAATATATCGGGACTATTTTCTCTTGGAAGACAATCCCCCATTCCCTGCCCATCGCTAAAACTTGACCAATGGAAATGCTGCATCTCGGGGTGAATGCGAACATTATTATTGCAACACTTTTTAAGCTTGTTTTAAATTAGAGTTTGAGAAAAACGTAAACTGGTTGTGGTGCAGGAAACATAGTCCGCAATTATCGCTCCAAAACCAGCGAACTATGTTTTCTCCCCGCAAGCTTCTTGCTAGGGGGTGATGCGTCGGCTCGTCTGCTTCCCGGGGCGTCTGCAGGCATGCGTTTGCGGGACACGTGTTCCTTCTTCCCATGGATCCCGACTCCGAAGCCAGCTTTGCGATCCTTCCACGTCAACAAGTCAAACTTTTCCTTGTCATCTGTGCAATGCGACTGCGTATTGCAGCAGCAGCGCGACGGTGCGGTGCGACGAACGACGACTGCCGAGCACTAAGTCCGGGCTCCTTGACGACGACGGTCCGCACGTGTTCGAGAGATTCCTCCGCGGATCGGCGGTCGGCCGCGTTGGTGACGCGCAGAGACGCCAGAATCCTTCGCTTGCTATTGGCTGACGCATAAAGAGATGCCCCTCCCGTTTTCCGGGGTCATCTCAGAAAGGGGGGCGTGCCGGGGACTTTGATAGCTACTTTAATAGGGAAATCCGCCACGCATGACCGTAATTTTATGATTTTTAGGATCCTTAGGGCCTGTAGATTGAGTTACCACCATAAACAGACCATCGCAGAACGCTCCGGAGGGCCCCTTTAAGAGCCCAAAGACCTGCCCATCCCGACATTTGTAGTCCCTATATTTCCGGACTTGAGTGACTGCACGACCGAGGACCAAATCAAACTGTTCCAGATCCTAAATATAGGTCTACACCTTTTTCAGTAAAAAGTTTGAGGGGAATAAAGCTATTGGTGGAGGTCCGTGACTCTGGCGGGAACTCTCGCTCATACAGCTGAATCACATTCAAAATGAGGAAGTTTCACCCTTTTCTCAACGACGGGCTGTTTTTGGCACAGTTGTTTGACTGGCTGCTAACACAGAAGCACAGTTTTTCAGCTTGGCAAACACCATGGCAGAGACTCAATGCTGGACATGGAATTTCATTCCAACTCTAGTAGCACTACAAGCAGCAAAGGTAGCCCTAGGATTACACTTGCAAAAGTTCTTCGACAGAATGTGTCCAGGACGTCGGTGCTTGAGGGCATCCAAGCGTTCAGGGGCACGAGTCACTATACCGTCACTTGACGAGGAGTCAAACAAACTCTTGTTGATTGCACCACGATTCTGATCAAAGCAAGTTGCGCTGCCTCTCCACAGTCCTGCACTTTTTAAAAATTATGTCTGGATTCTCGAGGGTAATAGCTTGCATTTTTAACAAGTGTCACAGAGATTTCTGGACAAGCGGCGATAATCAAGAATGAAACGTGCCCTACAGCTAGCTAGCTTCGAGAGTGTTGCACATCGCAGTGTCAAATGAAACGGCAATATCAGTCAACAAGACCGAGTACCGCTTTACGACGAGACTGAGCCCGCCACCAAGTTCGCACCCATCCAAAATAGCGTGAAACTGGCAAACAATATTCTAACCCTAAAATTAACTTGGGCTGTTCGTACAGAAGGAGCACACTTCAGAGAAAGCGTTGTGTGGGCATCCTTTTGTTCCGCAAGGCGTGCCTAGCCTTCAAATTTCTTGCGTTTGCTCTGATCACGGCTACACTTAGTGGTTCCGTCGAGTCGCAGAAGAGTCAGTGGCACTAAAGTTCCTGTATAGGCTCCCTACGGGAGCCGGAGTTGCGTGTTCATCCCCGTAGCGCCGTCTTTCCTTCACGGCATATGGAGCCTGCTCCTGATGTGACTGAATTCGGCGAATGGCAGCACGGTGCGCTCAACGTATGCCAGGATGCGTGCAATGTGTACTTTCGTGCACGGCATTTGAGTCTGCTCTTCACATGATCGCATCTCGGTGAGTAGCGGTGCGGCGGTACGTGGAAAACAGTCATGCAACTATGGCTCCTGTAAAGAGCCTATACAGGAACTCTACGTGGCGCCATCTCGCAGGGCCATTTTGCATTAGCTAAATAAAACAACTTGCATGTCTTAATTCGTCGCAAAAGGGTGGCGCTGTTATCGTATTTAGTTTCGTCTCGGTGAACGCCAGCGGTCCAGGTTCCAAGAGTGAGTTTTCCAACTGAGCGTTTTAGTAACGGTGTTTAGTGACATAACAAATATTAGGTTAACAAAACAGATCTGGGCAACATTTTGCCCATGATATCATCTCCCTTCCCCCCCAGGCTGACCCATAAATTTGCCCCTGCTCTGCATTGCCCTGCATGTTTGGGTCAGATATTGGTTCCTGTTGACCTGATGGACTCCTTTGTTCTCTGCATTCGTCATAGGTTACAGTCGTGAATCATGGACCAAGACTGCACTCTTAGGCCCACTCCTTTTTGGTGGATCGGGTCTTGCCATCTTCACCTTTCGTGGCTTCCTGTCGTAATTAAATAAATTGTCATATTTTTTTCTGATGGTGGTGCATACCTCTTGCCACACTTGACAGAAATAGTGTGGTGAATCCATGCCACGGATTACTGCGAAACATGAGAGAAGGTAATTATTGAGAAGATTAAGCTCCGAAACGTTTGATGGAAAGACGATAGATATACCCCGTTTAATATTTCTGGCCACTTTAAGCATGCTATCCCCTAAGTATTTCAGCCTATCATTGCATCGGCTTTTGACCATTCACACTTGCAAGGAAAGGCTATCAGCAAGGGTTTCCAAGTCTGTGTTCTGTTTGCATTTAATTACTGAAACAAGGTTTATAGACATTACCAAGTGTATTTCGGCACAACTAAATGTTCAAACTTTAGGCTATTTTGTTGCCATGATTTTAGTTTCTGCTAAGATGAATATGTGTTCCTTACATTAATTAAAGCAAGAATACGAAAAAAAGTGATTACATTTGTCCTCGAAGTTTTTACAGAAGACTCATCGCTATCACCATCACTATTTTGATTTTTCCAAGATGGCCGTTTTGTTTCGTGAACGTTCTGTGACTTCGGCGATTTACGCGACTTACGAACAGCACTGCCTAATTGGTACGTTAATTTTGGTGGCTATTTATCGTGTAATATCGTGGGTATCTTATGTTTATACAGGAAGTAGTATTTCAGGTTCAGATTGTTCTTCGTACAGCGTTAGCTCGAGCTCGGTGGGTCGTCTCCTCTGAACTGCTTGCCTTTTGTCTACGTTTCTTTCCTTCCCAAACCCATCACACTTTCTGGTTAATTTTCCTCTTTTCAATACCTGCTATTTTGCTAGCAAATATCCAGAAACGTAGGTACCATGCAGCTCTACCTGCACTATTCTTTTTATGTTGCGCAATTGCAAGAACCGCTTTTGTTTTGCCGAAGCAAGACGGTAATGGTGCTGGTAGTTAAATATTTATTTATTTGCTTGTCTGCTCGGCAGTGCCGCCTGTACCTGGACAATACCTTGGAAGATAATGCAAATACGGAGACAAAGCTGTACAGTGGTTATACTCTGCATCTGCACTCTGAATAACGTGATGTCTCGGTAACCACGCACGCTTTGTTAGAGAAATTTGTTTCGCTACCTGCTAGGCATTACTGAGGTGCTTTAGCTGTGTGCCTTTATTTTATGCTAAAAGAATGTACTGCACCTACAACAAGCAGTTGTAGAGGAGCACCGTTTAGTGAATCCATTCGATTGTTGTAAGCAAATCTGAAAGACGCTAAAGGCTACCGCACGATTCAGTGAGGCTTGTTGACCTATACTTTGAGCACCCACTCCTCTTTGTTAGGCCCTAAACCAGGCAGAACGTAAAATTATTATTGTGAAAACAGCAGGGTTGTGACTTGCACGAAAACTTGTCTATCATACTCTGAAATGCTGGCCGCCCAAGCGACCGACTTGCTGACTGACCGGCTCGGCTTTGTCATTGGCGAAGGCGAAACAAGCAAATGCTAGAGCATGCAGCCAAGTTCAGTGGATTGCGTATTTCTAAAAACAAATTTTCTAAAAGGTTGTTTGTCACCATTTTCTCTTAAAGGGCAACTCCGGCCAAAACTCAAAATGAAATAAATTACTGGTATCGCTGTAGTGACACAAAATACGACCCCAGCCAAAATATTACGTCCGTGGGACGCCGCATTCTCAACTAATGCTGATGATAAATATGCGACCCAACGCGAGCCGCTGCTCCTTAGCGGGCGGCCGATCGCTTAAGCAACATTGGGCCGTGACGTCAGTATCATTCTTTTTTTTCTCCGGTCCAGGCGTTCCGCGGAGTGCGCTTCTCTGAGCTGCTACCACCGCTACTTTGGCTTGTGATTGGCGTGTTTAGCTGTTGCTTTTATCTGTAGCCCATGTAGCTTCGGTATAGCCTTTTGTTTATTTGCTTGCGAGAACTCCAAGACTCGTTTTAGCGAGCAACTCGGTGCGCCCAAGACTGCCCAGCTGTTCCTCGAAAGATGCCGAGTGCAACTTGCAGCGCTGTGGGATGCTCAAACAACCCGCTGCGCAGCACGGAGGTGCTTTTTCACAAGTTTCCAACGGACCGGAAATTGGAGAAGGTGTGGGTGAACGCTGTTCGGCAAGTGGACTTTGGACTCCGGCTTTTACGCGCCTGAGGAAAAAAAAGAAAATATAGACGCGTACAGCCCAGCACACGTGTGTTCGGGCTTTGAGGCTTCGTGTCTCGAACTGACCCGCCACGCGAAAGCGAGGGGGCCTCCAGTACTGTACGTCACTGGCAGCGCAGCGTAGACCAACGCCGCTCCATCCACGGAGCCCTGATGACAATTTAGGCCTAGCGACGAGTATGCAAGACCGCACACACGGCAAAAGCCGCCGAGTACGGCACCGTACGAGTTCACGGGTTTTCTAGTCGCTAGCTTTTGGGTATATGCACTAACTCTTGCTACATATGCTGGATAACTACAACGTACACAGAATTAAAACAAAATCAGCTTACTTCCTATCCTTAGACGGCTAGCGCAACAGAGGTAGGTGCCGCTCGGCCTGTGTACTCGTTGATTGAGAACGATCGTGACGTCACGTTCACATAGCGGCTGATTTCCAGTGTTGCCGGGGCCTCTAGCGGCTAGTTTCGGTTTTGTTGGCCGCGCCCCAAACAAAACTTTCAGGTGTTGATATCTTTAAAACTACGCACAATAACGAGAAAAAAATTACACCTTGCAATTCAGGGTTGCTGACTGCATTAAAAACAGTCGTAATCCCAAACTCGAAAGTATGGAGTGGAGTTGCCCTTTAACTGAGCGTCTTCTTGAAAGGATTCAAGAAAAGGGGGGTTTCAAAACCGGTGCTTGGGAAAACAGATGCCTCCGCTCAGGCGGTACACGCCAATGTTCTCAGATCTATTGGTTGAGAAGTTCCACGGAAGAGCAGCGTTAAAAAAAATGAGACATTTACAATTCTCTGTAATGCGAAAGGAGAACACAGCACTTGACGAGGAGGGGAGGGTTTACATCTCCTTTCCCTCCAATTTAGCAGAAAATGTTAGCTATATTTCCTGCCCAATTTAGCGGGTTAAGTTTCCCCGCTAAATTTGGCGGGGAAATGTGACCCAACACAAATTTAGTGGGGAAAATGATGTCAGATGACTAACACCCATGAACAAATTCAGTTTCTCCGCTAGATTTAGCGGGAAAATTGACGTCACATGACCTCGACACCAATTCAATTTCCCGCTAAATTTAGCGAGGTAGTTACATAGACGGCGACACCGCTAAATGCGGAAACAGGTGCCTAAGAGCCTATAAGAACCACAATAAAATCACTTTTCACTGCAGGTAATGTGCATCGAACATTCCACCGGATCTGTCCATAGAGCGGGCTGATAGTGTGGCAGGCGCCACTGAGCAGACGCACCGCAAAAAGGCGTCTGGCGTTTTCAGAAGCTTGTCAACTGACCTAGATGTGAGAATGTTTGTACATGTATTGCTACCATTGCCCAGCGGGACCGGATATTGTTGGAGATCTGTGTTTGCTGAAAAATGTTTTTACAATGTTCACACTTTGGTCAATGCAAGCACATCTTTTTTTTTTCACCAATATCGACTAATAGCATTGCAGCAATCAATCCAGTTGACACCAAAATGTTATAAGCAATAAAGAAATTAAAACCAGGCTGTTCTGTGTGTGCAGATTTTATATCTTGTTTCATTGTTAAGGGCGGCCGATTTGTTTGCCCCTTTATTCAAGCATGCATTTCATCTCCGAGAAATCATGATCTTCCATTGTGCTGGAAGAGGTCTCGTAGTACAAGTAAAGGACGCTGGTGACATGTATAGGGTAGAGATTCATTGCCTCGTTTCCTTACTGTATGTTCGTTTGAAAGTGTCTAGATAGTTATATACAGACATGGGTCTTTTTACTCCAGTTAAAAAGCGGCACTATTCAATGCAATTTTTTTTTCGAAGGTTGCTCAGGAAAAGCTATTTTATGTAAATTTGAATACACAGCACCATTTCTTGACTGAAGCAAGTTCATATAATTTGATTTATAACATGCTTTTGATAAGATCAACCACAAATTGGTTTCGTAAAAACCTTTATTGCATGGTGTAGCATTGCCACTTTTAAAAGTCGCTCACGAGGTGAGGACACTGGGAGAAACCTCAGTTCCCTGCCTCCAGCACGAGCTTCCTACCTTCGGCAATGCATAGAGGCCGGACATTTGTAAGACACTCCCAGCCATTCGCATTCCGTTAACGACGATATCTAACATATCGCTTGAATCGTGTCTGGGTGTTCAGTAGACCATCACATGTTTTTGTACCAACTTGAGTGTGCCTCGAGGACCAAATGTAAGACGAGAATGGCAGGGAGGAGCTTCCTACATTTGGCAGTGCTTTGGCATCTTGCAAGCCTCAACAATCTACGCAGAGCGAAAGCATGTCAATAGATGCACATTCCAATGCAGCAACTGAAGCTAGCTACAGCCACACTGTCTTCCAAATGCAGTCTGCTACTAATGCAAGAGTAGCTTGGGCTACAAGCTAGGCTTCCAAACAGGCTGCAGGACACCCCTCGCTTTGGCCAGGGGGTGACCATGTGGTCAGCTGCTGCAGTTTCCTAAAAGTTTTCATACCTACAGTAAATCAAGCAATAATCAAAAGTTGAAAACTATCTGCTATAAGACAGTGGCATATAACGAAGCCTTAACAAATAGTTTGAGCATTGAGGAAATATATTTTTCAACACATTGGTGGTGCAAATTCTCTATTTTGATGAAGTAGAGTGCAGCACAATAGGGCAAGCACTTTGGTACAGTGATTGCATCAGAGTGATGGTGAACCCCCGTCGCATACGAGCCAGCAGAGCAGACCGCTACCAATGGTTTCATGCCATCCCTCCAATTTATTTCTAAAATTCTAGATCTTTTCACCCACCGTTGCATAGGCACTGCCATTTTGGAATCACATGACACAGCGTCATAAAGTGGCTTCAAATTGTCTCTCCCCTCCGCTCCTAGGCAAAGG